AGTAATAAACAGGTCTTTTCCTCGTTGGAATTTGTGAATATATTACTTCAGTTTGAGGCTAAGGCTGTAAAAAATGTGTCTTCACTTCTTTAATTCAGCGGTCATAGCGAACTCGAAAATGGACTATTACCAGGTGAGCTTTCGCGTAAAAGCATGATATGTTCGCACGTGGTGAAAACAACATGTTCTTTTTGCAAATGAAAAGATGACCGTTGCTATGGCCACATCATAAATCGCCCCTTTTGCAGCGAAAAATATTAAAGTGAAATGGTTTGGCATTTCACTGGTGTTAATATAATAAATAGAAAATTAACAGAACGCTTGGAGATACAAAATTTCCCATCCAAGCATTTCCGAATTTTTTACAGTATGTCTACATAAAAATTAAGAGAAGAGAAAATTTCGTATCATTGCACGGCCATATAATATCCTCTATTCACAAACTTGTCGTTTATCGACATCGTAGTTAACAAGGTAGGCAAAATCACTGAAAATCTGTGTCCAACCCTTTAAAGGACACCACTTAACTTCAAACGTCGACAGAAAAATATTTTACTTTTTTTGTTACAGAAGGTCGTTATGTCTCTTGCTTACTATACAATTATTTACAAGAATATAATGTCAGAGATCGCTTTCGAAACATTATTTATACAATCGACTGAACAATGACAACAAAATTTACAACCTTTAAGTTCAGAAAAAATATGACATAAGTTTTTTTAGAAATTCCTTCACAGATTTACGTACCGCTCAGAATGCTAGGCGGCATAACATTTAAAATGTTTTCAAACGGTCAGCAAAATCACAGTCATTTGGTTAAAATTTTAAAAAGCGTTTTCCATATAAAACGAATCTTCCACTAAGTTTTCACCCAGAAGAACAGTTAAATTTCTGAAAACCTTCTCATAAGAGGATGCATATGCCTGATTTCTTTCCTTTCTTTCCAGACTCGGATTTGCCTGATGTGTCTTCTTTTTTGCCCTTTTTATCCTTATTAGATTCTTCTTCTTCTTCTTCTTCTTCATCTCCTTTCTCTTTTTCTGTTTCTTCGTCTTTGTCCTCTTCGCCATCCTCTTCTTCTTCCTCTTCCTCGTCTTCTTTCTTACTGTCTTTCTCCTGAAAATATATCAAGCACAATATGATTGGTGCTGTTAATACGTTAATACGGACATGCACTTGAGGAGCCATAGAAAGTGTCCCTATAGGGGTGTCCGTATTAAAGGGGCTGAATTAAGGGCTTTATTTCCCCAGGGGATAAGCAAACTGTCCGTAATAATGAGGTGTCCGTAAAGCGAGGTTTGACTGTACTGTCCAACACCGTTAATACGGACACTTGGCGGCCATAGAAAGTGTCTCTATATTATCGGGGTGTCTGTATTAAGCGGGTTAAGTTAAGAGACAATGTAAGGGTTTTTTTCCCCAGGGACAAAGAAAACTGCGCGTAATAATGAGGTGTCCGTATTAAGCGGGGGTTTGGCTGCACTGCCGTCCTTTCAAGGGAATATGCTCTAAAATTTACGTTTACTTATAAGGAGCAGTTTCACAAAATTTATCGAAATTTAAACAGTGGTAACTGCTTAGATCCTTAGACGGTTTTTTTCAACTTTTGATAGAGAGCAGTAAGCAGATCACAAGTCCAAAGAGAGCGAAGATATTGCTCTACAAGGTCGCGAAATTTTACAGACGTTTGTATGGTGGAGTACAAGTACATACAAACGTCTGTAAAATTCCGCGACTTCGCAGAGCTGTATTTTGGTTTTAGTTTTCAAAAAATACCTCTAAAACTAAACAACTTAACTGATTTTAAGGCGTTCCTTGCAGCAGTGTTGACGGATTCTCGCTGACTGATCCCAGTCAAAAGTTGAAAAACCCATGGAAGTTATAGACTTCATGCATTGAAGCTCGCTTCGCTCACTTTTAAGAACTTATGAGAGGTCGACTTGTAGCAAGTCTACGTGGAAGTGTCTATCAGGCCACATATAAAATTAATCGCTCGATAAATGAAAAGAAAGTATAAATAACACAGCATGTACCAACAAAGACACGGATGAACAAGGTAGGAATGATATCGTCGACAAATAGGCAAATTTCGGTTGTCCGATAACCGAATGTTGCAGCTCTACACAAATATGAAATCTCCCTAAGAAATCGAAAAAACATGAGCGAAAATAGATATTGACCTACAAAAACTCTTACCTTTCCTTTCTTGACTTTCTTTTTGTCCTTTTTATCATCTTTGTCCTTCTTGCTGGACTCGTCATCGTCTTCGTTTTTCTCTTTCTTCGGTTTCTTCTTCTTCGTCTTCGAGTCCTTATCATCCAGTGCCTTTTTGTCTGAAATATCGGAAAAAAAAATACTATGACCGTGTGGTACCTTTGTCGCCCAGTAGCTTTTAACTGGCTGCTCGGAGCTGTTCAGGGTTGCCCTGAGTTCAACGCCTCCTCAACCCTTACACCTTACTTCCGAGTAACAGTCAAGTAAGAGTAAGGATGGCCCAATGGTGAGAGTGCTCGTCTCGTAGCCCAGGTTCACCTCCGGGCGTCGACGCCTTATGCAACCTCGTTCCCAGGGTTCTCTTCTACCCGCCCTACGGAGGATGGGTACGAGAGAACCCTGGGAACCCTGGAGACCCTGGGGACGCAAATAATGATATCCTACAGTACACTAGAGCGAAACCTGTATTAAGCAAACCCCACATTAAGCGGACACAAGGCAAGCTTTATTGAGTTCAAAACTTGTCTTCCAACGCTTTCTACAAAACGAACCAGTATTTAGCTCTTTGTTAATACTGAACAAGTTTTATCCTTTTTCTTATCTTGACGGCTGTGTGAGATTCTACACTCTTTCTTTCCTTGTATACTCAGCAGAGTAAAAACACAGGTAACTCAGGAAATCAGTCACGTGGCACATTCAGGAACTAAAGGAATTGCCTCATAGCTATCTTAGTTTAGTAATATCCAACTTGTGGTCTATTATCAATGCTGCGTTTTGATTGGTTGAGCTACTACTAGGCTATATGTTATAACCCACTAGTAGCGAAAAGCGCTGGCTTTTTGGCGGCAAAAAACGATTTAAGTCTAGCTTTAACCAGCTAAAGTTGTTTTGTCTCGATATTTTTGACCAACTAGTTGGATTTTACTAAACAATTATTCCTTTCGCCCTCATGGCCCCTGAGCCAATAGCCCATTCAGCCTTCGGCCTCATGGGCTATTGACTCAGAGCCCATTCGGGCTCGAGGAATAATTGTTGAATACCACACATAGCCGTTTCCAGGTGTTCTGATTAGTGGAGACTAGAGCTGTGAGTTTTCCTTCTTACTTTTCCTTAAGCCATCCCCACAACCTGAACGCATTTGGAAGAGACAAGTTTAAATATCTACTCTACCTTTCTTTTTATCCTTGGTTTTTTCATTTGTGTCACTTTCTTCTTCCTCATCTTCTTCCTCCTCTTCATCTTCATCTTCATCTTCTTCACTCTCCTCTTTCTCTTTTTCTTTTTTCTTCTTTACGTCAGGTTTTTTGCCTTTTCCCTTAGCTTCACCTTTATTTTCAGCCTCTTTATCCCGAGACTTCTTTTTGCTCGCTTCAGCTTCCTTATTATTCTCCTCCTCCTCCTCCTCCTCCTCGTCGCTTTCCTCTTCTTCCTCGGATTCTTCATCCTCCTCTTCCTCCTCCTTCTTCATCTTCTCGACTTTTGTCACATCAACTTTTTTTCCAACAACTTCAAGCTGTTCATCCTTGCCAGTTTTCTTTCCTTCCTCTGCACTGTCCTCCTCATCATCACTTTCTTCATCTTCTTCTCCCGTTTCCTCCTCTTCTTCTTCATCATCGTCTTCTTCTTTCTTACTAGCAACTTTATCTTTCTTGTCATCTTTCTCCGAGAAGACCTTGGGTGGTTTGTTCATGTCTGTTTTATTTTTTCTGGCTGCAGACTCTTCTCCTTCCTCTTCACTGTCACTTTCATCTTCGGTCATAGATTCCTCGGACTCTTCTTCTGCATTTGTAATGAACAAATAAAAAACAACAAAATGCATAATTTAGAAAACACGACAATCTCTGTCAGCAGTTTACAAGTACAAACCTTCAACTTTGGATAAAACCTCTGGACAAAATTCTTTCCTCGTGTGTTTACTGATTCCCCGGGACAAATGAAAGAGAGCCATTAGTTCCCGGACAAATGTTTGAACGGAGGAAAACGTGCACGGATCTGCTTTTCGTTTACACGCGACCGGCAGAACCCTGCAAGTTTTTGAACGGTAAACAGTACTGCAATCTGTAACAGAATCTACACCGTCCCGTCTAAACGGGTTGCACTGGTAAAAAAAATGGTCCGTTCAAAAATTTGTCCGGGCCCTTTGTAAACGGGCCGTTTATAGATTGGAGACAAGTTTTTATGGGCAATCCTGATAAAAACTGAAATTCTCCTTAAACTGGACTGGTCTAACCAGCTAGTCGTGACCAATGGTAAGCACCCATATTTTGACCAAAAAGAAAATTTTTTCCGATCGTTTAATGAATCAGCTCACCCTTTTTCGGTTCCTCTTTGGTGACTGCAGCTGTTTTTTCTTTCTCGTTGTCCTTCTTATCTTGGCCTTCATCGTGCCCCTCCTCATCCTCTTCACTCTCTGATATACCAGAAGAGCTCTCAGCATCCTTTTGTTTTTTACTGAGCTTCGTTTCCTACAAATGGTCACCAGCAATCAAATGTTAGCCCCCTATGCAGATGTCCCTATGATTAGGGAAGACTGTGGGACAAGGCAAAAGGATGCCTGTGTGAAGGAGCTATCAAATGAATCTGGAAGGAATGAAACTTTAACGATTTTTGGGATGAATTGGGTCTTACAAAATAAGTGTCTTAACGGTATTCAGGTAATGGTTCTTAATCTGCTAGCTGACTTTTGAGCGGGATTTTATTGGACTCAACAAATACGATTATTGGGCCAAAAAACGGCATTACGTACTCGCCTTGAATACTGACATCTAACAATATTTTAATTTGCAAAGGCGTTCATGCCCACTGTACATGAGAAGTTGCAAAGGACTTACGACCTCAGGCTGTAATGTTAAAAGTAAAATCACTCACCTTCGTTTCTTTTTTATCAGCTGACTTCTTATTGTCCTGTCTCTGGTCACCTCCTGTTGAAGTGCATAACAAAAAAAGCCTTGATCCTGAAAATCTTTCAGAGCCCAGGGACTACAGGCTTTCCCTCATGAGGGAGCTTTAGCAAAGATGACAGCGATGGCAATGAGAATATCAAAAAAGCAATGGGTTTGATAAGCAAAACATAAATTTTGCACATGCACCACGCTTTCAGGTACATTTCCTTGCCGTCACTGCAAATGTGACATGTTGTGAAGGAAGTTAAAACTTTCTTTTTCTAAACTTGAGTGCCATTCCCAAGAATTCAACTCTAGATCGATCCTACGATTAATTGGGTTGAATTTGAGCACCTCCCTTACATTTTGTTTACTAGCTGTCAATTAAACTCAGAAAACCATGAACACCCGAAGTCGAGTTAGCCTGCATCACAGATGTAATTTAACCTCGGTTAGTAACGTCTGCACAGCAGCAGCGATATCCTTGTTCTTTGTTCTTAGCCCCCAATAGACTTAACAAATTACCGGAAATGGACTTCAAAATTTCTTTTCATTCTGACTGGCAAATCAACAATGGGTTTTTTGACAGGCCGATCATGGGGCGTACTCAAATCCTGGTACAAAGGTGGTGGCCCAGAACAAAGATTTCTATGATTGTTCACAAATTTACTTAACCAGAGTTTGGTTTCATCTGTGACACAGGCTAAAATAGAGCCAGAACTCACACATTACATCTTTCTACCATTAATAACAGATACTAACCACGGTCTTCATGTGATATTTTAGGTAGCGTAGACATGTCCAGAGGATTCACAGGGATCTTCTCTTGGTTTATCGGCTCTTTTTTCAGTGCAGGAAGAGTCCGAGACAGAGGAGGTAATGTTGACTTGCTGATGGGAGGCAAGGATCCTCCTACTGAATTACCAAGGTTCTAACAGGTATGTGATCAAACATTTTAATGCAATGCATGAGAAAAAATTAATATTTCAATGCTTAAATAATAAGAAACCTTATTCTACATTCAACAAAACCCTCCGAATAACCATCACCAACCACAGCAGACTATGCACTAACTGGGTTACTTTCAACTTTAAATTAATGTTCACCGTTTACAATAAAGGTGATAAGGGCAAATGATGAATAGTCGCTATAATGATGTTAGCAGTGAAAACAGGTAATATTTTGCAATGCCGCAATTGGTTTTCCTGCAAAATGACATCTGGGTGCTGAAATTGCATACTGATCACAAACACTACCCAGATCTGGGTAGTGGTTCATCTGAAAGGGTTGTCAAAAGTACCCTGCTGCTGGAAAAAATCGCCGCCTACTTGGTTATTATCAGCTTGCTACTCTGCTTGACATTTTTTTATGGATGGCGTTTTTTAAATAAAATATCCCTGGACTGGCCGCTCACTTTGACAATTCAGCCATCTACGTCAAAACTTTCTGACAACCCTGGTGCATCATCTGTATGAAATTTCCATGCTTGTTCCTCAGATGTCCATTCGTGTAAGGAAGCAAGTGACATGTCGCAAAATATTGGCTGTTTTCTCAGATTATATAGCGTATGAAGATGCCTGAAAATGGCTTATGTTAGTCAGCAGGTTAAGAGATCTGTTGTACGGAACTTGTAGTTGAGGTAGTAATATTATTACTAATTTAATTACAGTGTAAGATAAATGGAAAAAAAATTATACTGTGGACAATAACTGAGCAATCTGCCAATACATCCCAAAAGAAATGTGTACCTTTAGAGCAGCAGTGATCCAACAACTTCTGAATTTTTGGTTTTTCTTCGAAGTGGCAAGTACAAAATAAATAAAGCCTCTAGATGATTACCTCTATATTTCTTTGTCGGCGCTTGTTCCTCGCCACACCCCCTGCAGGAAGTGTGGCAGCAAGCCCACCCCTGGGACCCGGTGGGCCGTCCACAGCATCCTGAAGGCTTCTGGTAGAAGAAATTGAAGCTGAAAGCATATCCTTTTCAGCTTCAGCCTCACTGTCTGTACCATCAGTGACCTCAGATGTTTTATATGCAGTAACAAGTGTATGACATCCACCACATGCAACCTTTTGAACAGTAAAACCATCAAATCTCTTCACTTTTTCAAGTCTGAATAAATTGGAAAATGATTCTTCTCCCATTCCTAGCTTTCCATGTCTTCCATCTCCACAAGTATACAGATTTCCATGTTTAGTTATAATGGCTGTGTGAGACTCGCCGCAAGCTACAAATTTAACGTGAACATTTCCTAGACTAGTCACTTGTTTAGGTGAGGTACGTTCTAACGTTGAAGTTCCATGACCAAGTTGGCCATGGTCGCCTTGTCCAAAAGTAAATAATTTTCCACTAGCTGTGACTACTGCAGTATGATTCCCACCACACGCAACAGCAGTAACCTGTTCATTTATGAATAGCTTTTGAAGCTCTGATGTGTCTCTAAGTTGTGATTCATCCAGTCCTAGCTTTCCACTCTCATTTTCTCCACATGTGTACAAAGAGCCATCATCTAAGATTAAAGACACAAAACAGGCAGTTACAAGACATGCAGGGCTGTACAGTGTAACATCACAAAGGTAAAGAACATTCATGCAAATCTCTTTCTGTACAGCAGAGATCTGATTATCAGAGTATAATTACTATATGCACTTGAAAGCCTCAAAAAAATGTTTTCAAGGTCACTGTAAAGTCAGGAAAAATCTGTAAAACAGGTTTGGGTTGTACCATAGTAACAGCCATGGATTTGCCTTTAAGGGGGGTGTACACATAGGTACACTGGACTTAACAGAATATAACACAACACATGTAACTTGGAAATTATCACAATCATTGTTTTGTTTAGAACTTCTGGGTGTCTTACAATTCTTAGAATACAGTCTTGTTCCATGAACATTAGAACATTGAGACAATTTCATGTGACTGATACTATTTGAAAATACACCCAATTGCAGTTATTATAAACAAAATTCCTCTGTTTTGAATATCCAAATGAGCTGATTATATGGTATGCTAAATAATTTTCAAGAACGTGAAGATATTGTATAATCAAAATGCTGAATCAGACAGTCATCATGCAGTAACTATCAGTAAATGAACCACAATTGTAACTCACCAGTAACTACCGCCATGTGATAATAACCACAGGCGACAGCTGCCACCTTGCCCCTCAGATGCACCTTAGTGGGTACTACACAGTCTTCATCCCCTTGGCCTGTTTGACCTTCACTACTAGATCCCCATGTGAACAACTCTCCTTCAGCTAAGAAAGTATTCAAAAATAAAGTACTCTAGTCGATGTTTTTTTACCACAAGTGAACCATTTGAGTGCCAAGAGTGACCAACAACAATTTTCTCCTAACAATGTCCATACACCATCACAAGACAAGGTCACGAGAATTAATAAAATGATCACCAAAGGTAAAATACCTTGATCAGGGTGTGCAAAAACTTATGTCCAATTGCCTGGGACAGGTATAAATTTAGTTCGGACAGGTAAACCTTTGAAACAGTTGAAAATTGACTTCAAATAATTACAGTGGAATTAAAATGTATCTGATAGTCATAAAAGCAAACTTCATACTTGACATAATAAGGTTAAATATTCATTTTAATTTCGCCATACTGCAGCCATTTCATTTGTTTTTATGAGCTCCGTTTGGCTTAGGAACCTGGCAAAACTTTTGGACAAGAACTGTTTGGTTTCAGACAACCAAACATACATGTAATATAGTGCTTGTCCACGGGACAATTGGATAAGAAAATTTTTCTCTTACTTTGTTGATCGTTTATCACATTATGGAACATGGAAATCAGTGCGGAGAATTTGTGTGTGGATATTGGGGCTAGCCTCAAGGGTAAAGTACTACTGCAGATGAAACAGGCACCATTTCTACGTGGTCATCTAAGCTAAGGTAGGGTTTAGGTCTAAGCATTGAATTACAAAAAATTCCCAATGGTACATGTAGGAACATGTAGGAGGCAAAGGAATTGGCTACACATGATCAAGGAGTTTAACTCTGGCCCAGCTGTTCAAAAGGTGGATAACGCTATCCACTGAATAAATCTCTATCCAATGGTTTCCCTAATACTTATCCGCTGGATCGTAACTTATCTGGTGGATAGCGCTATCCAACATTTGAACAACCCGGGCCAGATAAATAACTATCTAGTGGGCAGGGCAACTGGTTTTCACAATCCTTCTTCACAGCTGGATAGCAAAATCAGGGGCACCTAACGACGGTTTCCTTCTAAATACATTGAAAACTCTTTTTAGGCTATCCACAGTACTTTTAGATCTCTGGAAATGCATTCCAAGCAGCACTATAAAACATGTATCTACTTGGGTCATCCTAGAGAAACTTTTTGAAATTACAAGGGCTTCAGTATTATTTTCCCCAAAATTTTAGACGCAATTTAAGGTTGAAATAGTCAGAATTTTTCTTATTACTCTCTCCTTCACAGTTTTGAATCTGAAAATTTAAAGTTTCCTACGAAAATCAGCCTAACATGGCCCGGAGTAAAACGTGAGAAATTAAACTTCAGAAAATCTTTGGTTAGATAAGCTTTGAAAATTGTAACTAAATGGAAGCAGTCATTTACAAATTTTTAGCTGTCCTCAAGCAATAGAAAATTCTAGCCAATATTTGCTTCCTTGAGCCCCTGCGATATATCCTGATGAAAGCGATATCCAACTGTTGAGATACCATGGCCAGGACTTCATGCAGGGAAACAGATCAAGCCACTGTATATCAAGTATAGTCCAGAACAGAAAAAGAACTTGGCCATGCTTCCTCTCTCTACATGTACATTGTTGCCTCTTGTAGAAACAAACAATGCCATATGCAAATATTCAATTTATTTATAACCAATTTAATTTTTATTAAAATTGATTAATTGATTAGTTGTCATTTTTGTGATTGATTCTACATTTTTGTTGCATCATTTTAATAGTGACTGCTAAAAATGTAAAATATAAGGAGAACAGGATTAGACTCTGCTAATAGTTACCAGTGACTGCTGCAGTAAAATCAGATCCACAAGCAAGGACCTTGTATTGCTGATCTGCTAAAGATTCTATTGCTTTAGGGAAATTGGAATTCTATGAAGAAAATCACAAAAATTACCAAGAAATTACCGTAAAGTTCCGAAAATAAGCCCCGGGGCTTATATTTTTCAAAGGCCCTTTTTAAGGGGCTTATTTTTGGAGGGGCTTATATTCGGACGGGCTCATGTACGGAGGGAAATTTGCCCCCCAGGGGGATTATATTCGGAGGGGCAATTTAACAGAGGGTTTTTTTCGTTACGATTTTGGGGGGGCTTATATTTGGACGGGCTTATTTTCGGAATTTTACGGTACCTTCAGAAAGAGTTTTTATTATTTTTAAGATTAATTTTTTAGAAAATAGGAATTTAGGAGTATTCCCTTAAGCCTCTTTTTAGATGGGAGATTAAGTGCAAGGCCATTGATATGAAAATAACTTTTAATCCTCTTGAAAATAAAAATAAGGTAATTTGCAGCCTTGTCTTGAAAGTGAGAGTTTTTGCAACTCAAAAGTAGCCTATTACATAAAAGGCTGGGCCATTTGGCATCCATTATTATTGCAAACTGTTTAGGAATAGAATTCAGCAGCTCATTACCATGTTTTACCATGAAGGGCTGGACCAAAATGAATGTGGCATACATGTTTACCTGGCTAAAAACAAGGCGGCTGTTAAGTACAATTCTAAGCAGCAGTGAGTTTACTTGTTTGGTCTCCATTGTTTTGATTATTTTGCACAATATATGACAAGGAAAAGTGAAAATCAGATGAAAGGGATAGGTAAAAAACTTGAGTTCAAATGAAAAAGAGAAAAGCAGCCAATAGAATGTATGAAGTAAGCAGCTACAAATTTCAAAGTACAACACTGTAGGGGGGGGGGGGGGAAATAAATTTTTGCCTGGGGCCAGCTTCCACTGAGAACCTTGTTACTGATTTTTTTACAAAACCGTTTTTCAACATTGCAGAAGAAAATTCGGTAAAAGTTATTTTCTTTATAGCAATGTATTAAAAAAAATGATTTTTTAACCTCAAATTCTCCATTTCCCAATTGTCCCCACCCCCAATTTCAAAGTACAACACTGTAGGGGGGGGGTGGGGGGAAATCAATTATTGCCTGGTGCCAGCTTCCACTGAGAACCTTGTTACTGATATTTCTACAGAACCGTTTTTCAACATTGCAGAAGAAAATTCTGTCAAAGTTATTATCTTTATAGCAATGTATTAAACAAAATGATTTTTTCACCTCACAGTCTCCATGTCCCAACTGTCCCTCACTCCCACAACCAAAACTGAACAGCTTTCCTGACTCTGAAAGACAAGAAAGGTACATAGAAAAAAACGTGTGCATGCTCTCCAAAGCTCACATCTAACAATAAAACTGTTTCCTACCAAAAATCTCAGACTGGTCAACACAGGGCATCTATAATCTCTGCTCAATGTGAATTTTTTACGTAACTTTGTACACATAGAGGTTTTTCTTTGTGGTCTACATTTATATGACAAATTATTTAATGACTTAATAATAAAAGATGATAGTTCAAAATAAGCAGGGGCAGGTCCCTAGACATGGAGAATGAATGCATTTACCAACCAGTTGACACAATTGTATGATTCCTGCCAGCAGCTACAAGTTTGACTCTCTCAGGTTTTAGCCCTGCAAATAAAGAGTTTTGAGACAGCTGTCAACCTTTCTGTAGTAATTGCACAAATCTGGTGAAACAGGCAGCTTATTAGCCTGCGAAAACAGCCATTTCTCCTCGCAGCTCACAACTAAGCAACAAAAATTCCATACTGATGACAGATAAGGCACTAATTGGTCTGCTGTTACATTGTTTTAGCTAATGTTTCTAAATGACAGACAAAAGACAAAAGGCTGCGAAGGACAAATGTAAATGCTAACTAAACGCGATCAATCTCTAACAAAACACTCAATATTAATATTTTGTGGAATATAGCAGTAGTCTTCTCTAGAAAAAGCATTTGAGTTTTGATGAGCTGGTTCGCAGATGAACACAACGCTTCACTAAAATCAACCAGGAGAAACATAAACTTGAACAAATTTGCATTGGAACCCCATGACTATCAGATTTATTATGTAAACATTGACCTCCTCTGCGCGAAACACCCCCAACAGCGAAGAGCGTGGAGAAAGAGCTGTTTTTGCCGGCTGGCAGTTTATCAACTGAACAAAAAACAACAACAACAACAACAAGTTAACTCATAAATCAGCACACAAATGAAGTGCTTGGATTTTTATGTGGTTTGCAGTGCTAAAAATGATATTCTTTTTAGAAAGGACACATGTCCGACCAAGTGGTCATTTTACACGTAGTAAGACAAAATAGGAAAGTTATTAGGAATAAATTAGATTGACTTTCATTTCCTTAGATCTACGCAGAACGTCAGCTTCAAAATAATAGTCTTGGGTATTTGATGTGTCCAGTCATTACGTCTGAAAACTGTCAGACTTAAGGCATATTTTCAAATTGGATATTTTCTGATGATCCACTGTTGTTTGCATCACTGTCAATTTGGAACTCTTTAGTAGGGAAGTACTTTAGAATCACAACTTTGTTTTAAGGTGATAACCAAGCTAAAATCTGTTAAGAGATCAAACTGCTCAAAAATACATCTGGAAGGTGGCATTATTAGTTATCCTTGTGCATGTACTGTACTTAGGGAAAAAAAAAAAATTAATGTACATCACTGTTTTCATTTTTCAAAACATCTGTCTGTAAAGTTTCAAAACCCACAAAAACAGTGTCAATTTTAATTTGATGGAATTAATAATTTTAATTTTTTTGTTAAATACCCTGATGGTTCTGGGAACGGAAGCAATTAACAAAGGTAATGTAACTTATAGAGCGGTTTTCATTTGAGTGTCGAAAAGTAATTAGTTTTGCACTTTCTACACGATGCGATTGGCTTAAAAGATTCGCGCCACCTTTTCATCCAATCAGAAGTAAAACCAAAGCCAATTGTGACGCGCTCGCATGCATTTTCCCGCGCTTTGCGTCAGCCACATGTAATTACTTCGAGTTTTGATTGGTTCAATGTATTGTCTGTGTCCTATGTGATTGGCCAGAGTAATTACTTTGGTTTTGGTTTTACGACACTCAAACGAAAACCACTCTATTCATTAAAAACGCTTTTGTTTTTTTGCGTTCTCGTTGCCGTCGCCGTCGTCGTTGCTCCGTATTCCAGAAATTTTGCTACTATGGTAACGTGACGTCGCACTTCTCCTCTTTTTAAACTCTGCTCTTTTGAATCACAGCGTTAGTGCTATTAGCTTTTAGGTCAACTAATAAACCACGATTTAAACTCTTTCTAATCGGCCGAACCTACAGGTTAAAAAATGATAGGCATGTCCAAATGTATTTTGTAAAATAGGAAGAGAAGATGGCATTAGCTGATTTGTTTCTAACAAGACGGTTTGGCTTGGTGCAGTGTAAGCTATTTTTGTCGGTTGACTACGCCTTTTCAGTCGTTTGAATTTACGTCATTGGTCGGAACGAACCTTTTGTGACAACAGGACGTCACTGTTTTAAAGGTGAACTTTTCTCTTAGCCACGGATGAATGAGCCTAAAAACTATACTGAACAATAACGTAAACATGCTGGAAAAGNTTGCACTTTCTACACGATGCGATTGGCTTAAAAGATTCGCGCCACCTTTTCATCCAATCAGAAGTAAAACCAAAGCCAATTGTGACGCGCTCGCATGCATTTTCCCGCGCTTTGCGTCAGCCACATGTAAGTACTTCGAGTTTTGATTGGTTCAATGTATTGTCTGTGTCCTATGTGATTGGCCAGAGTAATTACTTTGGTTTTGGTTTTACGACACTCAAACGAAAACCACTCTAAAAATAAAGGAAAATCTGAATCGAAGGCTGAAAGCTACAACTGTAATTAGTTTTAACAATCATAAGCCCGCTTCCTTTTCTATAAAAGTGTGATAACCAACAACCACAAAGGCGTATAATTAACTTTAAAGTAACGGCTATTCCACTTACGTTTAACAAGCTTTGGACTAGGAAACTGAACCCTGTTCCCATGGCCCAGTTGACCCCAGTCGTTGCTTCCAAATGTGTACAGCTTTCTATTTTCTGTAAGGAAACAGTGCAGGATAAAAAGCATATGGTGAGTACTTCACTGATTTCATGTCCACTCAATTTTAATTAAGTCTGTTCAAATAAGCTTGCTTTAAGTGATCATATTAGTTTTTGATAAGGTTGTAAGATGCAACTCCCTTCCTGCTGTTTTTTGCTTGATTAAAAAGAATAAAATACACAGCTAGCTTGAATTACAAAAAAAACGAGTACGTTTCAGGTAAAGAAATGTACAACTGACCTGTCACAACAGCAGAATGTTCGTCCCCACAAGCGAGATGAATAACCGCATCATCGCGTATCCAAAACTTGTTGTCCAAGAAACGGCTTTTACCAAACGTAAACACAGCTCCAGAATCTGCAACAATGCAAGGCAGATACATAAAACAGTAGAGTTTGTTTGAAACTTTTCCATATTTCAACTTGTTTAAAAGTTTAGAACACAAGAAGAACTTTGAAACAAGGTAAAATAATCAAAATCAACAAACCTGGCACATCCTCGTCGTCCGACGCCATCTTTGTTTCCACGACGAAGGAAAGTGCTGACCAATCAGAGCTTTGCTGATTTGATCCCGCCAAAATTACCTTCGGTTAAAGTCGGAACTAATCGTGTGATACTCGGTTCGCCCTTGGTTTCATAGCAAAGACATGGCTTCGCTTGGGTTATTTCGAAGATGTAATCGAGTCAGTTCTTTCCTTTGCCAGGGCTTTAAAGGAACCGATTCTTTGTTCGCTCGTTGTAGAATAGGGGGCATTCTTTCTTCTAAGCGACATTGTAGTGAAAGGTAGGATTACATTAATCTTGAATTTTTTATATCGTGCTTGAGTGCCATTGTCCTTTTCACGCCTTGCTTGACTGTTAATTAAAAGAGAGAATTGGTCCGAAATGCTTTTAAATTATTGAATATCGAACCTTTATTTGCTAACTGTTTGACAGCCTGATTATTGGTGCTGTCTCCCTCTGGCTTTATAGATGGAACCAGTAAACGTGACGTGTCTCGTAGATTTTTGCTGATTCATTTTAAGCCCCCCTCCCTCCCACCTAGATCTTATCTATTTCAAACGCCATTGGGGGAAGGCTTAAGAAACGGTCCAGATAAGAACGATAGTAACAACGGCAACGAACATGTTGGAATGCAAAAAAGGTGCTAACTTTTCTATTGTCTATACTTACTTCTGATTGGCTTAAACAGCAAAAGTTAACAAAACTTCATAAAGCGGTACAAATATTCATCCTTACTTTCCAACCATCTTCCATATAACAAATCTGGTCTCAGTTTGAATAACACAGAAATCCTATGTGGGGAACATGTGAAATTGTAAACCTTTCTTGGCTATTGTTTTCAACTCTTGTGATTGGTCAAAATCTTTGAACACAAAAAAAACACCCTTTCAAAGTGGAGTGTAAATGCATTTTATTGCGTAAACGGCCTTACAGTACATTATAAACTTATTTAATTTAAGCTTATTACAAGATCATCCTATGACATTATTATTCAACGTGATTGCAATTTGGGTATTTTATAACTTAGCAGTTACCCTACTCTACAACACTCAGGTGCCAGAGTCATAACACAACAGTCCCAAGTGATGTGTGACTCTAGCCCGGGAAGCAGGGATTTTATTTTTGTTAAGAAAATGTTACGTTTGGCAAAGGATTTTATCATTATATTTCTTACCCTCTTAGAGGATGTGTTTTAGTTTGATCACACCCCTATCCCTGGCAGTTCACACCTAAAAAAACTTTAGTGTGGGTGAAATTTTTATAGCATGTCAGGGGCGGATCTAGGGGGAGGGTGCAGGGGGTGCGCACAACCCCCCCCCCCCCCCCCCCCCCCCCCCGCCGTTTTTTTAAAAAACCCAACTCCACAAACATATATTATTTTTTTTTTTTTTTATGTGTAAAGAGAAAAAAGGGAGCCCCCCCCCACAAAAAAAAGAAACACCCCCACCCCCATCACGAAACTAGCGTAAGAACTCATACAAAANGTGATAATTCTTCCAGTCTCATTGCTCAATATACCATGCCCAAAAGAATCTTGACTTGCATTTTAGGGCTGTGCTGTAGCAGAGCCTGAAGATGTCTTGCAACCTACTTTGTCTTTGGGCAACCAGTATCCCTTAGTTCTTGCACAATTGTGATAAGCACCCTGGATTTCGTGGGTTAAGGGGCTTTTAAGCTGCCTATGTTTTTTTGTAATGATTTTTTGGGGGAGGGCAGGTTTTGATTGCTACCCTAGGTTGTTTTTTGTTTGAGTGTCGTAAAACCAAAACCAAAGTAATTACTCTGGCCAATCACATAGGACATAGACAATACATTGAACCAATCAAAACTCGAAGTAATTACATGTGGCTGACGCAAAGCGCGGGAAAATGCATGCGAGTGCGTGACAATTGGCTTTGGTTTTACTTCTGATTGGATGAAAAGGTGGCGCGAATCTTTTAAGCCAATCGCATCGTGTAGAAAGTGCAAAACCAATTACTTTTCGACACTCAAATGAAAACCGCTCTAGTAAGTAAGTAAGTAAAGTAAGTAAGTAAAGTCAGTAAAGTAAAAGCTTTATTAATGTGTCAATGTATTTAGTTTTCACAACTAATTGGGGACACAAAAATAAAAATTATTTACAAATAAGAAATAATAATAATAATGTATATATTAAAATATGTAGCATGTATAAATTGTATAATAAAACAACAGGTATATAAAAGGTAGTCTCTAAGAATTGCAAAGGTTACAGCAGCTATTGTTGTTGTTTAAGAGTGACGTTAGGTCTTTTTTCCTAATGTTGTTTTTGAAAGATTCAATATTCGAGGAACCTTTCAATTTAATATCTAGTTTCGACCATATATGAGGTCCTTGATATCTAAGAGAATGCTTTCCATAGTTAATAGTGTTAAAAGTCGGAATATCAAAATCACTGTTTCTTAGTGAATAACTAGTGCTTTTCCCCTTGAATAGTTCGTTAACAATACTCAGTGCGAGGCCATGTTTTACTTTGTACATTAATATAGCGATATCTTGTAGTCTACGATTTAGTAGTGAAGGTAGCTCTGCACGAACCAGAAGGTCCATAGCTTGTTCTAGCCAAAGTTTTCTTTTTGAGTGAAATTCTAACATACTATAAGTCAGAAGTGATGTTCTCCTGTCTTAGGGCTGGTTCACAGGGGACCCAGCGGTCAGAGAGCTTACAATAGTAGTGATATTCACTTTGTGTCTTGCAGCGGTGGATTTCCATCAGTTGTGGGTCGTGATCTTCTTACACTTAAAGACTTCAGCAATTCTGAGATTGGATATCTTTTATGGAGTGCCGCTGATCTGAAAAAAAGAATAAAAGTTGACAAGGAGGTAGGAGCCCACCATCATTTTTTTTGGTAAAAATAATGTGACTTTTGTATTGTCTGAGCTAGAATGGTGAGTTCACTCTGGTCTAGCAATGCTGCTGAGCCAGCCAACTTGTAGAAAACAGTGACCTTGACAGGGCTCAAAAAACTCCTGTCCAGTAGTCTGGGATGAGTAGATTTTCTCCCAGGCAAGTAACTTTTTAAGTTCATTTGCCCAGTGAGCAAGGGCCCAGGTGTCCCCGGAGACTCACAGGCTATCAGTAGGGTCGGAAGAATAACGGTGAAAGTTAAATTAAAAAGTTTGCCACCGTACGTTTTTCCCTACCCAACTGACTGCTCCTGGGGCTCTGAGGATGAGGTCCAGGCAACTTGGAAACAGTTGAGGTTTCAGGGTAGCTGACCACCTACCCCTCCCCTAAGTCACAATTTTGCTGTAAGAGAGAAGTAAGTGTTAATGTTGACTTGGGAGGGAGGGGGAGGGTACCTCCTCAATTGATCCACAAGTTGTCCTCTATAACTAAAGGTTTTTTCTAGCCTTGCTTAAGAATCCATGATCATGATGTGGCAAAAATGGATTTGCTGTGTTCAACCCTGCTGAGCTGTATTAAATTGTAACATAATTGGCTAAATTTGCTTTCAATAATCTTGATTCTTCCAAGCAGTAACTTCAACAGGTCAAAAACTGGCCCTCCTGTCTTCTCCACACACCTTCAAGTTATTTAAAAACTTGGTGCAAAGGTTGACATTTAGGGAACAGGATAGAAACTGCCAAAATGAAGAAAAAAGCATAGGAGTCTTCTTATTGCTGAATCATTATGTCTTTTGCCTTTGCTATTGTCATCACCTTTGTAAAATTAATGTTCTAACCAAGTATTCTTATTATTAGTTTCAGAATGTTCGGCTTTTAGAGGGGAAATCAGCTGCTCTCATTTTTCAGAAGCGCAGCACACGAACAAGAGTCTCAACAGAAACTGGTAAAAATTTGAAAGTTGTGTGTTAATGTTCATGGTTTTTTTAATTTCAGCGCAGCAACAATGAAGTTGTGGCTCTTGTCTCTAAGAAGTATTTTAAACTTATAAACTGTAGCAATTTGTTTCAAACAGACAGGGTTGTCAAAAGTAGCCAAGTGCCAGCAAAAAATTGCCACCTACTTGGTTAGTATCCGCCGGCTTAACTCTGCTTAGCAAGTTTCTTTACGGATGGCGTTTTTTAAATAAAATATCCTTGGTCTGGCCCGCTTACTTTGACAGCTCAGCCGATTGCTTCAAAACTTTCTGACAACCCTGAACAGAGGAAAACTTTGTTGTCATCCACCACCACATCAAAGAAAATTGACAGATGCCTGTTATTATCTGAGGTGCCTGGTGAAATATTAAAAGTGCCACAAATGTGTCATTATGCTTGCATTTTATGTTAAAAGAACTCATGCATTCACAATAAAAATATAACTGTTGTCAGGAGAGGCTTCTTTTCACATGCCACTAGGTATATCGTGAAAGAGTAGCATGGGCGTGATGGGTAGATGTATTTGTCTGATGGTAGTATGATGTTGTATTGCTCTTAGTGAGGTCTTTTCTAACTCTTTTCTTTGCTATACTGTATTTGTATTTCCTAAGATGAGATTTTGTTGTTTTAACTAGGTCTCGCTCTGCTTGGAGGAAACTGTGTTTTCCTTACAGACAGTGACTTTCATCTTGGTGTCAATGAATCTATAAGGGACACTGGAAGGTAAAAAAAATTGATCCTTCATAGTATCTTTAATATGTTTCACTGAATATATGCTTTGCAGTGTGCAGCATAAATCATACCATTTTCATCATTGTCATTATTAATTGGCAACATTACAAGTAGTTAGGGTGCTGGACCTGTAATTGGGGTATCTTGGATATAATTCTACAATCCTATACAAAATAGTTGAAGGACATGACCAGTCGATTTCCAAAGTTCAAAAATTATTGTTCGATTAGCTTTCCCAAACTAGGCTTATGGACAAACCTCTTAGGGGCTGATAGGTCTGCGTTGTGTATGCCCAAAAAATTGTTGTGTATGCCCAAAAAAGTGTTCCAAGTTTTTGACAGGGGTTGTATTAACGCATCAAAGAGTTGTTTTCAGTGCACCCATGATAAATTCCTCACCCTGCCCATGATTGTAAATAGCCAACTGGTCTGCCTAATGCCACTGAGGGTCCTATGTAAATACAGTTGAACCTTCATTAAGTGGTACCCTATCTTAAGAGGCCAGTAATCAAAGTCCCTAAGTAATAATTGTAGAAAAGAATGGGAGTTCTCCCATTGTTGTCACCTCCATCCATCACTTGATTCACTCAGTCTACCTTTATTTCAAGAATATGATGAAGGAAAACACAGTCCTACATAGAAGATCATGGTGATTGCTTGTGGACCAGTAATGCTGTTCTGGCCCACACGCGTTTGTTTCAAAAATAATAAAGTGCCGTTTCTGTTTATGATTTTGCCAATTTCGAGACAAACCTCTATTGAGTGGCCAGCCTCCATTTAGCAGCCACTTGCCGGTACCCGTAGGGTGACCGTTAAGAGAAGGCTCAACTGTATGTATTAAGTACACCAGCATCTGTGGTGTTATTGAAATTTATAAATTTAATTTGTAAATATATTTTTTTAAACTCTCTTGCACTAATTTTTACTCAGGGTGCTGTCAGGATATTGTGATTTCATCCTGGCTAGAGTAAACAGGCAGAAAGATCTTGAGGTCTTGGCCGAAGGAGCTACCATACCTGTCATTAGGTACAAAAATAGTGGTGATAAATATTACAAATTTGTTTTTAGATAAAAAAGAAAAGAAAAGGTGCCGATATATCACCCTATGTCATTGCCTTAAATTGTGTTTATTATTATTAAGTATTATGAGAGCATATTTCAAACATTAAAGATTGGTCCTAGGAATTCTAGAATTTTTCCAAATATTTGTTCTTTTTCATTTTTTTCTTGAGCCTGCCTCCATTATCAAGATAGCTTCTTGTGGTTTTCAAGAATTGAGTGTATCTTATTTTAACAATTCTGTGATTAGTTGATGATTGATCAAATGGCTGCACATTGTTGTAAATTTTTACACGTTAATTTTTTTGTCTGAACTGAGGAAAGCAAACGTGAACTAATTAACTACTGGTTAAAAAACATGAGCTTTTCTTGATGGCTTAGTGACAAGATACTGTAATCAATTATTGTAACATTCAGTTAGTGTGTACAAACAAGTAAGATCATGTTGAGTGTTGATTATTTGAAGGAGGTGACCATTTTAGGTGATTCCACGAAAGAGGGGCTGTTAATTAAGGGAAGGCAAAAATTATTTTAATGGACAATGGAAGTTCTTTCTCTTGCTTTTTAGTGGGCTATCAGAGATGTACCATCCATTACAGATTCTTGCTGATTTCCTAACTCTACAGGTATATTTCAACACGAACTTACAGCTTAAGGATTATTAGCTTTTAGCAGTAATTAAAGGGTTTAATGGGACACTGTATTCAGTATTACATGAACAGTTTGAAATAATGTAGTGCAAAATTACAGAATGTGGGGGTACATATGATGTCTTAATGCTAAATAAAATGACAACCAGGCTTAAAGAGACAAATTATGAAGAAAATGGGACATAAATAATACACTGTATTTCAAATCAATATTAATCTCTCACTTCAGCTTTAGAAAGACCATAAAGACCATAAATGTTGTGGCACATTACCGCCAAACCCAGGGTGTCAAATTTTGGATTTTCCCTGATATTGTAGTTGCCAATTTTATTCTGCTCACATTGGTGACCATGCAATGAAATATAATGAAAGTTAAAGGGGATTTGTCACGGCTCTCTAGCTCATTTTGTTTATATTTATGCCAGTATTACTTGTCCTTCTTCAATATGGAACTTATGAAAATTAATACTTTTGAATGACAAAATTACAGCTTTCATATCAAACAGACAATGGGCCATTGTATACTACTGTTATGGATGGAAGCGAGACTGGAGTTCACCTTGTTTTGATACAAACCTTTCTGCTTTATTATGTAAATCAAGTTGTTCTTTCCTGGCTAGTATTGTTCAAGGACAATGTCCATAACAAAGCAAAAGAGGTTTGTGTCAAAACAAGGTCACCGTCAGCCTCACATTCACTCGAAGGCTTGGGTACTAAGTCCACAACTGTAAAAATGGTCTATTTGTGTCCCAGGCGTTACGTCCTGTGTTATTTATGCCTTGTTTTCTGCTGCTCCCACTTTTTGAAAGTTGATAAATTTTGTGACACAGTAAAATGTACATACAATTGTTTGAGATAACGCTTTTAATGTTTTGTTAATCAGGAGCATTTTGGTAGTCTGTATGGCCGCACAATTGCATGGGTTGGTGATGGTAACAATATCATTCACTCGTTTATGATGGCAGCACCCAAATTTGGAATTCACTTAAATATTGCAACTCCAAAGGTGAAGTACATAGTGCTTTAAATTTTTCCCACCCCCGCTTCTGGCCATACTAACTGTTTTATTATTTGTGACGCAGGGCTATGAACCTGATGCAGAAATCTCCAAGATATGTCAACGCTTCACTGAAGAGGTAAGTTATATGGTTTGTGTAGGCCAGAATGGTTCATTTTTACCCTCCCCCTCACGGCCACATATGTGTCAACTCTCTCATATCATTGCTTAGTCTCCCTTATATGGCACAAATCTCTTGATCTTGAACTCTCTTATAGGTTACCAAATCTCCAAATAAAAATGTCTTTGATTATTTACTGTGCAAAAGCCTGAAATTTAATCCTAAAATTCCTTTTCCTTATTTTTTTTGTTTTTTAAATTTGTTACTGCAAAAATGCTAGTGTCCAGATTTTAACTCTTCAGAAGTTGGCTTCTCATTTTTTTTTTTTGCGGGAACTTACTCTTGCGGATCGCTGGAAAAATCGCAAAAAAGCTGCTTCCACACGGTACATGAGGTATATGATAATTGAGGAGTGTAAAGACTTTAATCACAACGTGTGGAGGAAAATGCAACGTCAGCTATAGTGTTTCAGAACTCAGTAATAATGCTACCTAATGCTACCTTTTTGGCGAAGCTAATATAGTAAAAAATAAAATAAAACATAGGACTCCTGATATTATTCTATGGCGGATATTGTGCACGTTATTGATCCCAAATGGCACCTGATCACAGGATGCTCCAGACTTGCAAGCAACTTGTATCTTGGTTTGATAAGGCTAAGCACAAAAAAAGAGTATTTGCAATCATTACTGGTAAATCAATTTTCACTGTCAATTAACAAGCATTTTAATTGTTATTACAGAACAAGACATCAGTGAACTTTACTGATGATCCAAGGGAAGCATGTTCTAATGCTGATGTAGTAGTGACGGACACGTGGATTAGTATGGGACAAGAAGAGGAGAAGGCTGCAAGATTAAAGTCTTTTTCGGGGTATCAAGTTGATACCAAGGTCTGCTTTTTAGATCGTATTTGACATTTGCAAGTTAACATGTAAATTATTCCATTGACTGTGACGTATCGTAGTGAATTGCGGTCGTTTCGCCCGAAAGTCGATTCGCGCGAAGACATACAACACTCTACGACATGGTGAACCCACTTTTCCGAGATGTTATTTTAGTTAACCTTGGATTCCACATGTGTAGTCACTGTTTTCAATGCTTGTTCCTTTTTCTCAGGCTTGAAGAACGATAAATTCGCATCGGGCGAATCGACTCAGTCTAGGCGAACTGCCATCGGGCGAATCAACCTTCTGGCGAAACGACCTGGTACCGTCGTGGTGGTACATCTGTTCTAGAATTCTGGAATTGAATTATTTTAATAATTACAAGATTCTATTCAGGACCTAGAAAGAAAAATTGGGCGTCCTTTCTAAATGATCAAATTTGCAATTGACGTCTTAGTTGTGCAGTGACGGCAAAGAAATGAACCAAAAAGTGTGATGAAAGTGCAAAATTATTTCAGTGTTAATTTACGTCTGCGTTGCTGTTCCCCGCATAGATCTTACGTGCACGCGCTGTCGAATGGTCGGAAAAAGTAGCATTTAAAGCTGAGAAAATCAGCCCTTTAATCAGTTTGAATAATTCAGCCAGGCTCACATGTACATCCTAATGATTCCCATATCTCGCCTGCAGCTCATGTCTCTTGCCAAAGACGAGGCTGTTTTTCTTCATTGTCTACCGCGGAAACCAGAAGAGGTAACCGATGAAGTTTTTCAGTCTGAAAGATCTCTGGTTTGGCAGGAAGCAGAGAACAGAAAGTGGACAGTTATGGTAAGAAGGGCAGTTTGGATATATAGTGGGCATCTAGTCAGTTCTGGCCCCTCTGTCTTCTCTGGAAGGGTGTTATTCACCTCGACCTTCAGCCTCAACGGAAAACACTCTCGACCTCCATAATTCTTTAGGGCCGGGTTGTTCGAAGCTAGGTTAAGTTAACCCAGGGTTAGTGCAAAATTTGAATTCAGATAATGGTCAGTAGCTCTTTTAAAGCGCCCGAAAGCGGGGCGAAAAATGTCTTACTAATATCTGGCGAGATTTTAAGCCCTATTTGAATGAAATAGGTCTGCTGCCAGCGTAGCGAACAGCAATGATCACGGATTATAGTTATGGTCATGATTCAGAATCTGACGATAATCATCATCAAATTGGTTATGAATATGATGATTTTATAACGGTGGTAATAATGATTATGACAGTGATTGTGCTAATAATGATTATGATTGTAATTTGATCATAAAAGTATTCTTTATCATATTTTTCCATAGGCTGTGATGGCGTGTCTGATGGAGGATTACAGCCCTATTCACCCTATGCCAGAATTTTAATTATACCACAATGCCGAATTACAGAACATACTAAAATAAAAATTCTCATGTAGTAATATATAGCTAGCAAGGTGTCTATACTTTGTTCTCCTCGCTTCGGCGGATATTGTTAGCCTTGGTGTATACGACTGATAAATTCATAAACAGCGCGTGGATTCATTTGACTCTAACAGACCAGTTGATTTTAAGGGGATGTGTTTTGCCTTAAAGCCAATTGAGTCATTAGGAAATGGCAACCAAGTTGAGTGAAATATAATACTAACCGCTTAAAACAAAGAAGGAACATTTTTAAATTTGCTGTGTATTTAAAAATACACAGCAAATACAATAGAAAGAACCGACTAACAAGCCTGAAGAAGATTTTAACGGACTGGGTTTGAGTTATGTAAAAAAAAAAGTCCAAAAAAAAAAATGTTTAGCTTGTCAGTGTTGCAGAGTTTGTTCCTTGCTTGATTGTAACTTTGCTCATGAGATGCAAATAAAAGGGATTGTGATCTGTTGACCCCTCCCTCATCTGTTGTAAACTGCTTTAAGGTTGGTTTACAACTGATCCGGTACAAAGCTTCGAATACAGCAACGAAGAAGTCGACGACACCAAAAAAACGTCTATATAGCCGGTTGGCGGAACAGGTTCCTTCCACGTATATCACAGTTTTCGCTTTATTTCTTTGTCGTTATTAATATAAACGACTAAAACATCCTATTTCCATCCTATTTTTCATCCTATTTTTTATGGAGGAAGTAAACTCAAGAGAAAGACTTCCCTTTTCTTTTTCTGACTTTGATTAAGTCCTTAAGAATTCAACTAGAGAAAAATTCGCAAACATGTGACAAAATTAACGACGGAGTAAAACAACGATGAAGTTAGAAACACTTAAACTAAAGAGAAGTTTTTGCTGCCGTATCCGTCGTTCAGCCATTGCAAATATGGTACTTCAAGAGTAATATAGGTCCGTGAGTTGTTAACTGACCTAAGAGAATACATAGCCTCTAATAAATGAAGTTAGCGCTTTTGCCATATATTTTTTACTTTACCGCACTTCCTCATCCTCGGGGCAAGACCATGTAAATAAGCGCCCCTTCAAATACTGAGGATGTTGAGAAGAAAGCGTCCTCCTTTGTTCATTATCATTTCTTTTGACTCTTACCATACAGAAAAAAAAATTTAAGAAAATAGTTTTCTTCTCCATTATTAATGATAATAAGATTGTTTTTCCACAAGAAAGATTAAGCTGAAATAAAAGTTCTAGCTCGTTGAAGGAAACAGTTCATGACCCCCTCCCCTCAAACTTTCCTTGGTTAAACTTCTTTTGAGTAAGTACGCCTCCTTTTTGACCGAAATTAGAAACAATCGCTCGCGTGCATCTTCTAGGACTGGAAGGACGGTAACTGAGTGGTAGTAAAACTCCGCGTTGGTTGAAACACTATGTTAGGTATCCTGGCACAAATCGTGTAATCGATTAGCTGCGATCTAATTGGGTGTTATTCTATCTCGTCACGTATTTTAGCTTTGTACTCTGACCCTTTTTGATGACTGTCCCAACAAAGACATGTTCCTAAGGAAATAAAAATTAACAGCAAGCATTTAGATTGCTTCGTTCATTATTGCGCCATACTAGTTGAATAGTCATGGTTTACAACCTGTTTTGGGCAAATCGTGTTGACTTTTAACAGTAACCCATTTCAATTTAGAGATAATGCTTTTTGAGGAGTAGATATTTTCCGACAAGTTTCGAAAATGTTACATTCTTTAAATTTGCATGTCGTGAACGAAATTGATGGTCTCCCGTGGTTCTGTTTCAAAGTGCTTTATAAGGCATTTCTAAGTTGTTTCAGTGACAAAATACAAAGTCATTTTAAGTTTATTATTTATAAGATATTATTTTGTAATGTTCATGATAAGCGATTCCGTTCCTAAAATGACAATGCATTTAAAAACCATCAGGCCAGATTTTCGTTTTCGTTGCTTTCCGAAACAAAATAATCAAAAAGTTTTCAGTTTCATTCTTCTTGACACTAAATGCACTTTTATTAGTTTATTAAATGAAAGAATCACGAAAACATTTCCAGGTAATTTTGTCATAATTTTACTCCCTCTTTTCGCGAAAGACGCAAAAGGAGTTTTTCCTTCTGAGCTGGTTGTTTGAACGCAATCAAACGTGGGCCATGGTTGTAAAACAATCAGACCTCCAGATCTTTCTGTTTTGCTTAGACTGATAGTACAGCTACATTCTGTGCCATATATCCCTTTACAACACTATATTCACAATGAGCAAAGTGTAGAAATAAGAATTAACCAAAAAGAAGAGCCTTACACCACGACTCAGCGCCAAACTGGCCCTCAATTAAAAACATTTAAATGTTGAAAAACAGTGAGATGAAGTTAAGAAACGTTCAGCATTTTTTAAAGGTTTACTCTCATGAAATCACTTTCATTCAATTGATTTCTCAAGTTTTGACCAGATATGACGCAACAAGAACTAACGCTACAATGCCATTTTTAAACAAGTAACGCCCAATTACAGAGGTTGCTAAGCAAATAATCTAAAGAGAGAAACCGCTATATTTCTGTTAATGGAAAGAGGGAGGCATTGTCCCTAGTCATTTTCAATTACACCCACTTTTACTTAATGGAAAATTCGATAATTGTACCTCTTTATTTTACCGAACAATTGAGGCCAACAAATATGATAATTCATAGATAAACAGAAAACCCGTTGGAAATCAGTAGAATCAGTTTTTTTTTACAAAAAACTGTGAAAAATGAGTAAGATCTTTTACATTTCCACCTTGTTATTCGTTGTCACTTTTATGGTGTATGAAGGTAAGAAAGATTTCCCTCCTAACAGACTTCCAGTTTGAGAAGAGAGATCGATTATTTAGTGTTGTAAAATATACTCATCTTACACCTTTTTAACCTTATCGAAATGGAAGGACTATTTTGTTGATGATTTTTTTTTGTTGTATTTATTTTCTTGGCGCGTTATGTAATCTTTTTGACGGTGTTCTGTTTGCTAGGGACGCTGGTTTATAGCTGCAATAGTTTCCACTCAAAAGCAAACATGCTATCTAGCTTAGTAAAGAAAATGGGACACAATCCACTAAAATACTCTGTCAAAAAATTCTCAAACTTTTCTTGTGCCAATGACAGGAAACTTAATCGAGACACTTTTTAGTTACTTGCGAGATTTACAGTCAAAGAAAAACTATGAAATTATTATAACTGAAGAACAAGACTATTGACCGCAGCGGCCACTTCCTTTAGTAAACCCGACAGTTTCAGTTAATGACTAGACCGACGACATTTCACAAGACAAAATCTTCTTGGTAAATCAGAAGATATTGCCTTGAGGGTTGTTCTCAAAACTTTGGTACATGCTTAGTTTCTTAATTTTTTGCTTTACCGCCAACAATCGGCCAACAATTCATGCTCGATTATCGTCAGATGTGCAGGCGCCGGTAGAAGTTTATTTACTAACTGAGGTAATTTGTTGTTTTTTTTCTTCCTTTTTCGCACAGCACACGGGCAAAATAATTGTTTAGCAAGTTTCCGAGAAATTGGATGTTACAGAGATACAAAGAAGAGAGCTCTTCCGAAAATGCTCTTAAACAAAAGGGGAAAGATACCGAATTTTTGGCAAAACTATGACAAAGTTCTACCAAGGTAATTGGGTAATCGATGTTTTTCTTCTTTTCGTTAACTGAGCTTCATTTAAATCAGTGCCATGAGACGTCAGTCACACAGAAAAGTCTGTAATGCAAAAAGAATTAAAATGCTGATGAAAACATATAGCTAGTTGGAAAAAGGCGAGAAAGCATACCAGTAATTTATGCTAGGATCAGTTAGTTACTCGATCTGTATTTCAAATGCACATACACGTAATACACAATAGATTTAGCCAAGCCTAAAAGCGGAGCTTCTTTCACCTGGCAATCACTCATGAGTGACAAACTAGGACAAAATCTGTGCAGACAGATTAAAATAATACCGATTTTTTGCACTCGTCCTCGCAAAAATGCTTACCCTCGCCAACTGAATGACTGGCCGTTTTCCCCCTCCCCTGTTCCAATGTTGTTTGCGGCCGCACCGGAACGACTTTCAACAGGGGGAGGGGTTGGGGCGACTTTGTTCCGTTTAGAGGTCTTTAGAGCAAATTTTAGTATGGCACGAAATTAGATAACGCATGGAAATTTCAGGGGTTGTAGATTTAACCAACTTTCCTTGCCTTGTACTTCATTTAGTACCTACCGCGCCTGGGTCTTTGACTGTTCGGCTGAGTCGCTTGCCTCCACTCTTTCCTAAAAAAATCATACTATCGCGTGAAAAACGTACAACGTTATGGTTTTATTATAGTGATTATCATTCGTGCATGTTCATTTATCTTTGAAGCATTATATGTGACTGTGCAAAAGAGGCCGAAAGGAAAGGATATCGTGTTTTTGGAATTCAATTTTATGGAGAATGCTGGGGTAGCCATTCCTTTATCCCGAGCCATCGCTACAGACCGGTACGACGCTGCATTGATGAACAATTCAAGACATGTGCCAAGAATGGATGGAACAGTACATGTACCGGGAAGAATTGGGCAAATTTCATTTATAAGTTACAGCAGGTCTGTGTTTGGTTTACTTTTGCTTGTTTCTTTAATGACAATTTTGAGGTTTGCGCTTGGGATTGGGTCAGTTAAAATTGCTAAACCGTTTTGTGGGACGAATTTTGACCCCGCCTTCTAGCACAACTCTTTAATAGTCACCTGCACGCGAGAAAATAAGAAAATGATAACGTCCCCGAACATTCCCTAGCCATGTTCTAAATCAGACGGAGGAAAATAGTACGACTTATGAACGCAAAAGCTCTATGGAAATTTCCGAGGAACAGCAAAACCATGGCGGACAGCAGCAAACCACTTGTTAAAAACGCTCTTTGAAGGAGACACGTGGCGCATCAGAGTCTTTGAGAATTCGACTGTATTAGTGAAAAACAGTTGCATTTAGAACTCTATTTTCGCTTTTTGGAACTCAGCATTTGTAGTAGGTCGTGCTCTTCCTCCAGACGATCCCAAGAAGCTTTGTGATCGCATATTGTGCCCAGGTTTTCACACGTTTAGAACTTAGCGAATAAACGACCCAGTCTCATGGAAAATCTCGTAGGGTTTGTCCATAAGGGGTACAAAAAGGGGCTGTGAACGGGGAATGTCGGAAAACAGGGATTTACCTTCCTTCTGGTAAAATGGTTTCTAATTCATTGGGACTTGGGGTTTCAACACGAATCTTTGCAAGGGCCAGTGTTTGAATTTTGCACAAACTTTGAAAGGGACGTGGCGATATGTGTACCCCCACTCACCACATGCTCACAGGAACGTTTGCCTGATATTTTAAATTTGGTGTAATATGACTGTCCTCTTTATAAGTTTCAGAATAGCCCACGTTCGATGTATTAAAATTCAAACATGGCTCCGAGGCTTTCTGGTTATTCAGTCTATAGTTGGTTCGCATGGTTCTCTTTGTGCTCAATTCTCTTCTGAGTATTGTGAGGCAATGGAGTCATGAAAAATTTGCAATTTTGACCCTAAAGCCTGGGAGTCATGTTAGATTTTTATTATATCGAACGTGGACTATTCTTTGTTAACTTTTGTATTATTTTTCAATATTTTTCAGCCATCTGCGTCCCACCGAATAGGGCAAAAAGGTATCATTAGATCTTTTCTTACTTTTAATTTTCACTTGATCTGGAGAGTGTTTTCTCTTTCCCCGTACTTTCCAAAGAACTCCTAACCTGCGTGAACAGCATTTGGGCAAAAGGAAAGGAAAAGAAGAGAATCTTGATGCGTGAGGGAGGAGGAAAGGCGATACCTTCAAAAGGACTATTGTTCGACCAGTCAGTTTTACGCTCTGTTTCTCAGCGTTCTCAGAATTAAAATGCCCAGTTTAAATTTAAGTGAAAATTATGGGTCCATTAAAAATATATATCTCTTGCTGGTTGGTTTGAATATCAGCTGTTCCCAAATTTTCCCACCTGTTCCCACCTCCAATCTTGTAAAATGGACCTTGAGCTTATTATTCTCCATTCCTCGCACGCCCGAGACATCCTTTTTAGATCGACTTCCGAATATTATCTATATCATCGCCTTGAAACTGTTCCGCACTGACTGATTCAAATCTTCAAGTACGTGATCAGGGCTCCGCTCATCCAGACACTGAGTAACGATGGTCGCCCGGCCTCGAAAATATTATTTCTCAGCCCCACGTGCCTCACTTTGGCCAAAAAGTATGGATGGGGCCCGAGACCCAGAGCTCCACTGCTTCCTCCCCTAAAATCCCCCAACGTTGCTAGGCGCGGAATAAAAAGTCCGTTACCAGGCATATGTCTATACCTTTTTGGAGGTACTACTAAACGGTTAAGTAGCAAATCTAATTTGCCATCATAAAGTTGTGCTTATAATTTCTTGCATTCTTTTGGATAAGTGGATGCATGCACCAACCACGCTTGTGAGAATGGAGCGACCTGTAAGGTGACGGGAGAGGACAGTTACAGATGCCAGTGCCCCAATGGGTACTTCGGGGACAATTGTGAAAAAGGTACCGCTGATAAGAACGGAAAAAATTGGGCAGCTACCTTGGTATTTCTAAGTCATTTATTGAGAAGGAAGAGGCTAGAGTTTGTGTATATACATGTTGTGGTTCAGTTATATCCGTTGTTTAAATTTTATTTTCCTTTGTTTCAAACTCATAATTATTTGTCAACATCGCGACGTAATTGACCAATCAGATCAATAACCAGAGTATAATACCATTAACTGACGTGATACAACTCGCTTTGACACTGAAGATGACTACCGCACAGGTTGTCGAAACGTCAGTCACTGTCAACAACAACGGTCCTATTCAGGACTGCGTTCACCCGAACGATCAAACTCAACCTAAGAAATAACCTGCTGAAGGGGGCCTTTGATTAAACGAAAGCAACACAAACGAAAAACAAAATGGAAAAACAACGCATGCTTGTATGTAGGCTCAGGCTTTGCTTGCGCGGACCTATCAGTTTTCGCTCGCAAAAAATTGTATAGGCACATGAGTAAATGTCGAAGGAGTTTACCATTTTCATAATTTATTTTAGTGGATGCTTGCACCAAAGCTCCTTGTAAAAATGGTGGAAACTGCGTAGTAACTGGAGACAACAAACACAGTTGCTCTTGTAACAAGGGATTCTTTGGAGGAAATTGCGAGAGGGCGAGGGCTTGTAATGTTATTAATGGTGATTATAACAGATGAGTTATATTAAAATGGGATTTTGCTGACCTTACCTTTACCGATGCCTTCCTCAGTAAAAGAATAGTCATTTATCGTGGTAGTCTCTTTATCGTAAGTCTTAGATATAGTGCCTTTAGGCGAAAAATGTTAAAATGGAGCACGGCGTATAAACATAGCCTTGTCCTCTACAACTTTCTCCTTAGCACGGACGAGAGAGCGCCCACAAAGTGTGTGGAAGCGGAAGCTGATGGGCTCGAATTCTGTCGGAAACTCAAAATTTTTTCAATTCGTTCTCCCACTCTCGTGACATGATGACGACAGATTTATACGCATCACTTACTATAAATAAATTTTACTTACTCTGTTGTTACAATACTGACTCTTCTCTTAATTTAGTGAATCGGTGCGCTGATAACCCATGCCAGAATGGGGGCCAATGCAACACGACTGGACATAACACATACCGCTGTAAATGTGTCGAGGGATATTATGGAGTCAACTGCGAAAAAGGTGAAAATCAGTTTGACTTTTCATCGTTCATTTATTGGAGATTATACATCACATACTAGAAAAAATTAAGGTTAGCCAGCGTAACTGAAGGAGTTATTTTTTCTGAGAGTAAGAGTTTTGAAATCTTCGGAATTAGGGTGATGTTCACGACGGGACGATTGACAACAACGATTTTCAAATCAAAGTACCCCCTCCTCCCAGAAAAAAAATCAGAGAAGGGGCCCCTTCTACGATTATTTTCTGAGGTAGGTGGGGGGTGGGGGGGGGGGGGGGGGGTCTGTACATATGCTAAAGTTAAAGATGTTTCAATAAAGTTTTTCGGAGGCAATACCAAGAGACCATACCAAGATTTTGTACTAGTCATAGAGGTATGTAGAGTGCGCATTAATTCTTAATTCGAAAAAGGACTATTTATTATTAACGAAGTATAAACAGAATTTGTTGTGCGACACAGTGCAACAAAGCGTTGCAATGTTGGAACAATGTTGCAATGCCGTGTTGCGTTGAAAATCTCAGTCTAACAGCAGCGCAGGGTTTTTTCCCCTCTCTCCGCCCGGCTTCGCAGCAATTTTGCCAAAATGACTTTTCAAACTTTGTTCTCGCTAACGATTCCGCCGGCTACGCAGAATAGATTAAAATGTTATCTCCACTAAAACGAGTTTCTATGTTTTGCGTACAGTCTATACAACATATGAGCGTATCCAAATCTACTCAAATGACTCTCTTTTTGAATTCTATGTATTTAAGTCTACCAAATGCCTTTTATCGAGCTGCTCTAAAGCAAATAATGTCTTCCTTTCCTGCTTCGTATCGTTCCCTGCGATATAATCTGATCCACGCATGCTTTGGTGTGATTTTTATTTCAGACTGTTCATTCCCAATCGATATTGCACTCGCAATAGACGCATCTGGAAGCGTTGGAAACCGTTCTTTCCAACTGGTGAGGGAATTTCTGAAGCTATTTACACAACATTTCGACGTGAGTCATATGGTACGATTTGCCTGCCTGCACTATGATCACTTCGTTTACAAAGACTTCTCATTCAAAGATGAACAGTTTCGCAACCGCACTAACTTGGAGGAAAAGCTGCAGAATATGTCGTACCCTTCAGGTGCGACGCTGACCCACCAAGCATTGATAGAAGTTATCAAGTTCTTTGGGATTGGCAATGGCGCGCGGAACGCTAGCGAGGTTCGTCGGGTTGCAGTTGTTCTCACAGATGGAAGGACTTATGGTGGAAAAAGGAAACTTATTCCGCCAGTGGATTACTTGAAGGTACGTTATATATATATATATGTGTGTATTTTTTTTTCCTTCCTTTGCTCTTTTATTTTCATCGTTTTTTGTTTTTTTTTTCTTTTTGTCATTTCGCTTTTTTTAGCCTAGAACTATGATTAGTACGACTATCTAATATACTTATTTTAAGATTTACTGTAGTTCTGCCATTGATTTCCCCATGTGTAGTTATGATAATATTTTGTTCTAATTATCTAACTGAGGGAGCCCATTCCTTAAAAGCCCGGTGGCTTCTCTTGGGCTTCCTCGCCATGAGAGTTTAAGTAATTAGATTTATTTATTTCACTTGTACAAATTTTGGCAAACAAACAATAAACAAATAAAAATAAACAAATTATAAATTACAATGATCAAGAGAAAATAAAGAAAGAAAAGTTAACGGTTGTCTAACATATTCTTGGGTAAAACTGGTGGTTTACCGTTTAATCAAATGATATGCAAAAAATTTAGCAATTTAGCAGCCTGCGAAGCAAGCGTTTCAGCACGAGTTCGTGGAGAAAGTTAGGACGAGACCAAAAAAGAGGAGAGAACGTTTATCATTAGCACAAATAATCAATTCTATTTACTAGAAAATGGCACGCAAAGCTTGAAACGAATATCGAAGTTTGGTTTGAGGAATCCGCTTGGAACATTCGGACCGCCAAATCGGGCATAATATCAGAAAACGGTCATTTTTGTTGGAAATTTATCTTTCAGGTATTTTTTTCAACTCGATAAGCGTTTCGTCCTGCCTCATATGCTACCTACCCCATCGTCTTTGTGAAATAACGATTTATTATGGCCTGGTTTGATTGTCCTTTTTCTTTCAGAAATATCAACACGTCATCATCGTTCCTATTGGTGTGGGATGGGCAGTCAGCAGAGAAGAGCTCCAAGTTATGGCTGGCGATCGTAGGCATTATGTGCTAGTGGACAACTTCGATAAACTCGCTAATGCTATGTATGAAGTCTTGGACCTTGTGTGCACTTGGTAAGCTAGCCTGCAAGCAGGCTTGATTGTGCGAATTTGGGGAAAATTTTTGGCAGCGGACAAAATGATTTTCCCCGACTATTGGTAAGCTGTGTGGAAATGGAAACCACAGGCATACCAACAGCTTTATAGTACTATGCATCAAGGTTGTGCAAAATTTAGTTTAGTCTTCCTAAACATTTAGACTAAATATGGGGATTACTTCATTAGGAAAAAAAATCCTTGCATGGGAAATAAAATTATTCATCCACGTAGAGTCACCCTAAAAATACTCCTGTGCTGGCCAAAAAAAATTCATGCAAAAGAAATGTTAATAAAAAAAATTCCCACCCTCCATAACTATTTTTTTTGGCCTGTCCCTTTTCACAAGTGCAAATTGGCCTAATCGGTTGTTTAAACGCCTTGAACTATCCTACATGGAACCAAAAATTTTTCATTGAACAGATACAAACGATAATTATGTCTCACTAAAGAAAAAAGGTATAAACGCTTAAACACATTTGATTGGCACAGCTACTCATGATGATTTCTTGTTTTAGCACTATGAAAGTCAAACCAATCGCCTAAAGGGGCGTTAAACTGAGAGAAGACTGAAAAAAAAATTTTATTGCAACTTTGAAAAGAAAATAAGAGAAATCTGTGTGATGTAGTATGTTTTACATTCTAACACCAGTATTTTATAGCCTTAATTTCATCCGATTACTTCGAGTCCTTATTACTCCCTCAGTAACGTCGCCGTTGAGAGGAGAAAACGACTCGAAGCAATCAGATGAATTTCAGGCTACAGTATTTTATTTCTTTTTCAGATATGATGTGCAGAGATCATTTGAGGCTTACCAGGATAAAATTTAAAGCCTTTTACTAAAACTTTGAAAACATTTTTGAATAATGTCATATAATGTGGATATTTAAGAAAATTTGGCAAAACAGGGTAAAAGCTAAGAACAGAGGAAAATTCAGGATTCTTCTTCGTCTACTACTTATTATTATTATTGACATTGTAATCTTGAAGTCATTAATATGTTTTATTTCACTGAACTAAAACAGTAATTATGAAATCGCAATAAATAACATTGATGCAAAATGTGTGTAATAATGTAGTGCTATTAAATAATCAAATAGCTATACTATTGGCAACTGGTAAATTCATTACCAAATAAGTAAAAATAAAATACATGTGGTAATATTCTTAAATAAAATATACGAGATTATTTTAGTACTGGCTTAATATAAGGGTTCAGCTGTAAAAACGCCCCCCCCCCCCCCCCCCCCACCCCCCACCCGCACCAACACAAACACGCCCCACCCCCACGCCCACCCCCCCCCCAGCCAAGCGTAACATTCCTCGCCACCTCACGCCGCACGTCACACCAGCC